AATCTAATGCAGCGTTGCTGGGATGGAAAACCCAACAATCGACCAGATGCAGCAGAGTGTCACAAGGTGTTAACTAGGCTCTCCCAGAAAGTGTACCCACAATCGCCATGAACACTGGCTATCAGGGAGCCATCTTAAACATATTTCATACTCAAAGGTAGACCTACTGGGCAAAACAGCGGTTAACTTTCTGGTAATATGATCCTTCTGATTTTTATAGTGAATAGAAAAGCGTGATACTTAACGGCTAGAGGAAATGCTTTCTTGACAAAGGTTAATCTGTGCTTGACGACCGATATGAGGATTTCATCATCTTTTCATCGAAAGAGCAGGGCTTGTACCACAGTTTTCAATTAATTAGCTGGAAAAAAATAAAGAAGGCTGAAGTCTCATCTTTTGGGCACCGACTTCTTAACTTAGGCATGTGGTTGTCACTCTTTCTTTAGAACGATGAACAACCAGCGAAAAAATTTAATTATATTGTCGAAAACGCACTAACGCGTTTCCTAATTAATCAGCCCCTTTATTCTACGAATCACTCCGCTTAAACTCCAGGCTTAACCTACAGCATCAACGGACACGAGCGCATGCAGGATCGCTATATTTAACTAAGTAGCTACGTGATACCTAGGAGTACAAAGTACATTCTGGAAAATTGAGTGAAGTCATTTCCGGTTATACACAACAGAGAACAATAACAACTAAACGAATTAAGGCATTGTTCACGGTTCCCGACATACTCCCCCATATGACTCGCAGGAATCGAGGCATATGTGACACAAGGAACTGACAAAAAGTGTTCCTTCAGGGGTATCAGCAATCTAGAATAGATCAGTGTTAACTTTCTTTCAGTTCAAAATTCAGATCAAGGTTCTTTATGCAATGTTTAGTCCCGCTCCTCCTTCTCTGCTACATCCTGCATTCGAAGCCTGGCTGCAACTGCTGCATCTCGTTTAGGTCAAAACACTAGCGCTGTAGGGTTGAGGGGTGTCGTGTCTCCCTGTAAATTCTCTTTGTCACACGACAGTTCCAGGGGATAGAGGTGCTGGATAGAGCGTTCGAGGTGTGATCGACCTGCTCGCAACTTTGCACNCACTTGCGCAAGTTAAGTCCTTCAGATATTCATCAACAAGAAATGTTTTTGCCTTTTTCATGCTTGTTGGAACCGCATGGTTCTGTTTATTTTTGTCCAAGTTTTTTCCAGATTTAGAAATATGTAAATCCATCTCTGCCCTTGTGAATAATGGCATGCGTTGCAAATCTGTAGACCATCCAGCTGATGGAAATTTAACAGTTCTTTCATCAGGCATCGCATCACTTTGAGCGAGTTGTTCTTGTCTCTCCTTCCGACGCGTGTATAACAGATTTTTATCGGGATCCACAACATCTTTACCACGACCAGACGCAACATATTCAAGAACTCTTTACGATGAAAAGTGGAAAAACTATTAATCATTTCATCAACATTTCATTTAGAAAAGTAATTCCTAAAATCCTTTGATCTTCTTGTACGATTTTAAAATCTGTTTAATTCTCAGAAGTATCACGCACGACTGACAAATACTGTACTTGCCTTTTCGCTAATTGTGCCTTTGTTTTTAACCCCTTTGCTGGATCGCCACGACATTTTAACCAAAAACGAAGTTCATCTGATTTTAGAGCAGTCGGATCTCTTCCTTGAAGTGATGCTCGTGGGATATCTTCCTCCGTAAGAATCTGAGAAAGACGGCTACTTACAGAGTTATAAGCGGCCATATTTTAAACACGAGCTAACAAGGCCTAACTAGCCTCGTTTTCACGTTTATCGCTCCCAGTCTCTTCTCATTATGCATAGGGTGTATGGTGAAAGCAAAGTGTCGAGCCAGCATGAGCACTCGGGAAATTCACGATCTAGAAGTTTCACTCGATTTAACATCCGGAAGTGTAATCGCGGCACACTGTACTTGCAAAGCTGGTAACAGTGGATACTGTAATTGAAGCGAACTCCTCGATTGATTTGGTTTAATCACAACGATGAAACAGATCTACAGGATAAATCACAAAATCCAAACACTAGGTAATGCGAACTATTACGCTAAACGAAACACAATATAATAGACTTACGATAATAAGTTCAATTCGCAAGGTATTTGTTGATGCTCATGAGTTTTAGTGTCCGAAAAGATCTGGCTGACTAGCACAGGTCAGCAGTCCTAACGAGTCCGCAGTATGTGGCCAGCGGTAGTCCCATCATCCCTCCCAGTCCGAGAACCGAGAAGGGTACAACGTATGGCGTCGGTTGTAGGACTCAAGTGACCCATTGTCCTGTTTCGGGTTCGTACCGTTTGGGTGGCCGTGTTAAGCGGCGAGGACGTGTAGCTGGTTCGGGCGGCGGTTGAGGTGGCGAAATGGGCGTTGTGGAATTGTCAACAGCAGCTACTGGTAACTGGGGGTCTCAGTACTGTATGTCGGGAACGGGGCTGTTATCCTGTGCCGGGAAGAGGGGCAACATCGGTGCTGGGTCGGGGACCGCAGTTGGTACGTTGAGCTTAGCTTCAGTGGTTCGCTTGGACTCAGCATAAGGTTGTGGTGGCACGGGGGGCTGTGGGTGTGGGCACTGGAGAGCACTGCCGGGGAGCTGGTGGGCAGGTGGCGGTGGTGGACGGATAGAGGGCGTGGCTGGTGTATAGGCTCGCAGGAAGCGGCGGTTGCGTAGTGTAATTCGCCCAGAGCCGTCCACCTCGACACGATATTGGTCATGGCCGGCTGATTCCACCACTACCCTAGACCGGTCCCATTTGGTGGGGTTGGGGCCTTGTTGATTCTGCAAGAAGACTCTCTCGCCAAGGGACAGAGGGCGGTGGGGGCGTGAGTGGGCTGTCAGAGACTCTGTTGTGCGAGTGATGCGTGTGCGAAGGGCTACCTCTTTGGCCTCCCATGCTTGACTCCAAAGGGGTCTGATGTGCGGGTTCGAGAACTTCTCAAGGCGGTTTACGAATGAGAGGGAGTCCCTTAGGGGGCGACCGAAGATGATTTGCGCCGGTGACAGGTTGCAGTCTGGGTCTGGGGTGTTGCGTAGCTGTAATATGGCACGCAAGAAACGATCATGGTCGAGGCTGCCTGTCGGGCCTGTGTTGGACATCAGGAGGCGCTTGGCAGTTTTCACTGCGACTTCCGCTCTGCCGTTTGATTGAGGGAAGCTGACGGAGGACACGCGATGTCGTACGCCCCAGAGGCGTAGGAAATCCTGTGTGCTCATAGCGGTGAACTCTGGGCCGCCGTCGCTCGAGATCTCCTCCGGGGCGCCGAAGGTGGCGAAGAAGGAACGCAGATGGCGAACCAGGCCGGCTGAATCCGCGAGGGTGGTCCCAGCTGTTGAACTTAGGACTTCCACCCAGCCAGAAAGGCGATCAACTACGACCAGGTAGTGG